GAGACGACGGAGTGAAATCGATCAATTCAACATTCCCACTCAAAGCATCAATTTATTGCTAGCTAGGCTTACCTTATAGTGATACCTTTAGAGGTGCCCTATAAATATTTTGCAGTTCATTGAATCCTGCTCGCTACTGTCAGTTCTAGTTTACCGTAAGGCAACAATGAAGAAAGGATTTGGAAGAAAAAGTAGCAGACCTGATGCTTCCTTGGAGAACAAGGACGGCAAGGAACATGACAAACCAAAGATTCCTATCGGGACGGCAATGCTACCGATGCCACTTTCCTACAGGGTCCGGTTATTTGTTGGTGGTCTGATGTTGAAGGGATCATCATCCCAAAGGGGCAGAAGAAAAAGAAACAGACCTCAGTGAACGGTTGAGTACTTCCCATTAATAGAAGAGATCTGGCTACTGGAAGAAGCGTTAAAGTAGCCCGTCTTTCCCTCATGGTACCCCGGAGAATGTGTCCACCAGGATGGTTCCCGGCCCCGCCCCAACGTAGTGCAGAGTAGTAAAGTAAGAAGAGTGATAATGGCTATTGGAAGATGACTGGGAATTCACGTCGAGTGTTTGGCACTTGTTGCCCTTGCATGAACGGAGAGAAATTGCACATCGTCATGGCTAGGTATACCTTGTGTGAGTGATGCCTTTGTGTGTGTAGCCTTTGAGGGAAGGTACAGAGTTGAGTTGTTGTCTGTTTATGGTGTTTGAGGACGCATCGATTAAAGATTGACATGTACCGTTCCCGTCAAGCCAACAAACCGTATGGGATGGGTGCATGGGCCTATTTTTAGTGTATCCACCCGTTAAAACGCAAGCAAGTCCACAACGGGTATAGCGAGAAGACGCGAGTTTCGTATGAGTTAAGTCCAAACGCAAACAACAAAGAGGAAGGAGAAGACCTCGGATTTTGGAAGAGGATGAGCGACGGGGGAATTGCGAATCCACAGAAGAGGGAGAGGAAACACACCTCGGAGGTGCGGACGACACGGATTCCGTTTGCTGCTCAATTCCCCGTTGGTTTCAGGTTTGGTTTGTGTGGTGTGGGGTGGTGGGGGGGGTTTTTCTGGTGGTGGGGGTTTTTTGGTTGATGGGTTCTTGTGTGAATTTGTTGTGGTTGTGTGTGTTTGTTGTTTTGGGGTGTGGTGGTGTGGGTTGTTGTGGGTGGGAGGGTGCTATTGTTTTTTGGGTTGTTTGTTGTTTTTGTTTCTCTGGCGTTGATTGTCGGTGTGGTGGTTTTTTAGGCGGGGTTGTTTTGTGGTTGTGGGGAAGTGTCAGTGTGGTGTGTTTTGTTTGGTTGTTGTTACGTCGGTTTATTTGTCTTTTCTGGTTTGTAGCTTGGTTGGGGGGGTGGGGTTTTTTTGTGTTTGGGGTGTGGGGTTGGTGTTGTTATGTTGTTTTGGTTGTTGTTTGGGTTTTGCGTGTTTTTTGGGGTTTTTTGGGGTGGTTTTCGGATTGTCTAGTGGGTGCGGTGTCGGTTTGTGGTGGTTGGTTCGGGGGTCTGGTGTGTCAGAGTGTATTTTGTGTGTTGGTTGTCTTTGGGGTTGTGGACTCTTGGCGCCTGTGTTAAGGTGGGTGGGTATTGTGGTGTGTTGTGTGTTGTGTGGGTGTGTGTGCGTATGAGAAACTTGTCGGTAATGTTGTACCGTTTCTTGAACAAGCTCATCAATGCTTTACGGCTCAGGTAGTCTGGCACATCACCGATTGGCTCATCTACAACTCGCTTACCAGTTTACTCTCGTTATAGGTGGCCCAGGCTCAATCAGAATATCTGTGTTTTAGTACATCTAGAGCAGTCCTGTGATCGGGCGGTCGTGGTTTGCTGTTTTGATTGTTCTTTCGTAAGATTTCCATCAGCCTGACGCCCTTTGCCTGCTTTGCATTCAGTGGAATGTTGCTAAGCCGACTCTTCTCACAGTACTGTCTGAATTGCTAGATAATTCTGTTGTCAGGAGGTCTTTTGATCCTTGTTTGCTTGTACTGGTTGTCGTTTTGTATAATTGTGGCCACGGATCCTTCGTTACTGGATTCCTCATCACTATCAGTTTCATCCGAATCCTCCTCTGTGGCTTCGTTACAGTGAGTCCTGCGTTCGCTCTTGAGCACTCTTGCCGGTTGGGCTGGGTGCTGCTGCGGCTTGCCTGTTTTTATAGCGCGTCATGTTTTTTGGTGTTTTATGCCTAATTTGTGCATCCGCTTGCCTGTTTTCTATCATCCTCCGTCGTCATCCTCTATCGTTGTGCGGGTTCGTCCTCATGTCTCATCTTTAGAACCAGGTATCGTCAATCATTCAGAGGGGTTACCCTATTCCATTGGGAGTCATATTCCTCGTTGGCCATCTCTTGTGGTGATGTCCTGACTGGATCTTCCTCTTCCTTTTTTTTTTTTTTTTTTTTTTGTTGTTATGTTGTGTGGTTCGGTGCCACTTGCGGGCCTGCACCCGGGGTGTCAGTAGCCACCTACGTATCGTGGCAGCCCTGTCCGCTGAATCTACTCGCTTCTCTGTTATTCCATGTCAAATAGCCGCAGCACTCTGGTCGCGTGCTCAATACAATGTTGATAGGCTTTTATGTGACTTGATAGAGCCTCTGGTCTTAAACCAATCATCACAGTACTCACAACGATACCAATCACATTTGTAGATAGGTACAATCAATTGGTAGCTTACCAGACGTTACTTTTTAGCAATTATAGAATGTACTAGACACCGTCTAAACATGTGGCTTCTGAGGTTCAAATTGACAGTTTCTGGGATCTGGAGTGGCTCGATCTATAAAATGAGATTGTAATTAGCAATCCGTAAACTCGTCCTGTTGCAAATATTTCTGTATTAGTTTGCACTCAACGCACGAATGAATCTACTTACGGCTACCTAAAGTAACGAAAGGGCACGACGGTAGCAATGGTCTCTGGCTGTATTATCATGCATGCTACCTTTCAAATCAGGAGCTCGTCGGATCCGGTTGGATGACCTCACCTTCCGAAACTGCTGAATTACTACCAAAGCTTTAACCAGCGACGTCACGATTTTATATGCCAAACACGTGGAATGGTATGGTAGGGGTGCTCCCGTTTTCGCGCTACCTAAAAATGCGCTTCTTAGATGTAGCCGCCTTGACAATAGCATCCCTTGAGGCTTTGTCGGCAGGAGCTAATGTTGGGGAGGGGACCCTATAGCCGCGTAGAGTAGATTTGCCTTCTGCATCTTTCGTGGTTTCTAGGACGGTCTGTATTTCTTTGGCTCCAGGGAAGCCATTAACTCGAGAATACGTGTTGGCAGCAGATTTCCAGTTGCGGATTCGCTGACCCGCTGCGCTTTCGAAGTTCGCTGAGTTCTTCCAGTACTTCGGACAGAAACCTTTTTTGGGAGGAGTGATGGGCTCCTCGTCCTCGTCGGATGACTCTTCCTCTTTCTTCTTCTTGCTTTCTTCTCGCTTCTCGTCCCTTCTTTCCTTGGCACGCTGCTTCTTTGCTTTCCACTTCTTCGGGGTGTTGTCTTTCTTCTTGTCGGACTTACCTTTGCCCTTCGGGGGGGCTTTCTTCTTGGCCTTCGTGGTACGTCTTTTCTGGGCGACGTTCTTCTGGCTAAGGACAATGGGTTCGTCTTCGCTACAGTGTACTGGAGGACGGAGACGAGGACGACGAACGGGGAAGGGAGGCAACGGGGGGGAACTTCTTTTTCTGGGGCATAGGAGTAGGTTTGGTTTCGGTGATATTTTTCTTTGTCTGCCTGGCAGCCGGCTTTCTGTCATCCTCCTTTGTATCCGGAATAGCATCGACGTCAATCGCGTCGTCAGCTGTAGAACCGGTGCTGGGCCTGCTGTTGGCTTTCTGGTGGCGGAAAAATGCCTTCCTGCCATAATTGTTCTCGTAAACGGAGGAGTCACTGCTGCAGGTATCGACATCCGCCTCGGCATATGGTACCTCAGATTCTCCAAAGACACGGGGGGTTGGTGGAGTGCCATTCGTCGTGTAGGTTCGGTCATGGTGGCATGTATCACGTTCGGCGGCAACTGCTGTGTTGTTGGAACGGCATAATTCAGGGGTTGCCTTGAGGTCACGACGCTTGAATGGAGGCTCTTTGGTGGGAGTCCCATTGTTGAAGCGAACATTGTTGCCTGTCTTTTTCGGTGTCTTCCTGCGAAGGGGAACGTAAACCTTTGGGACAACAGCACCGGGGCGCTTTGTTCCTAGATAGAAGTTCAGAAGATGGTTCTCATTGTCGGTGATCCTCTCGGGATGCTTTGACAAAATGTACTCGATCACCTCATTGATGTGTCCGGGTTCGCTCTCGTCTAGATCAACGACCGTATCGTAGTCAACGATTTCATCAACGTAGTGCCAATGATAAAGATCTGGGTTCTCATAGGCGTCTGCAGGAATATCTTCAGGCCTAAGATACGGTCCATGTTTGTTCTCCTTGTCGTCCTCGCATCCACATTTGTCCAGCTTCTTGTCCGTCTTGACGTCATTGTTCACGGTCGCATCTGTCTCTGTGACAGTCTCGACTGTCACTTTGCCCACTTTTTCCGATTGAACGTCGGCGGTGTGTGCTTCACTGGACAATCCTTCCACAGTCTGATCATCAGCGTCACTTGGTCGAGCCGTCTGTTCCGCCGTATCGACCGCATCCGTCGGCTGAGAGGGCTATAGTGTAGCAGATATGCGAAAAGGTGAGACGGCATTTTTAATATAGAAGTTCGTGGTTGACACGGCGAGAACATCTAAGAAGCGCATTTTTAGGTAGCGCGAAAATGGGAGCACCCCTACCATACCATTCCACGTGTTTGGCATATAAAATCGTGACGTCGCTGGTTAAAGCTTTGGTAGTAATTCAGCAGTTTCGGAAGGTGAGGTCATCCAACCGGATCCGACGAGCTCCTGATTTGTAAGGTAGCATGCATGATAACATACAGCCACGACCTTGCCAAACCAGTCGTGCCATTTCGGTTACTTAGGGATGCTCTGAATCGTATGTATTGGGGAGGTATAATGCAATACTACGATTCATCCTTATAACGGCCATATACAGAAATAGAATGCACCAGGACGGTTTGACGGATTGCTAAGTTAACTAATTATCTCATTTTTATATATTTTTTACAGATCGAGCCAACTCCAGAGCCCAGAAACTGTCAATTTTGAACCTCAGA